ATTGCCTTTGCCTAAATGCCTCTTGTAAGAGAATCAGGAAAAACAACTGCCTAACTGTAGACAGCAATAGTTAGTCAGGATGTCTCCTTTTAAAAAGTTCATAATCTGAAAATGCTTGTGAAGCAAACTTAGGATTTGGAATACAATCTAAAACTTAATGTTTTATGTTTTTTCCTTTCTTTGGAAACCACTGATTTAGCAGAAGGAGCTTTTGCTATAACCTCTGTGTGTATGTGTGTATTTACAGGATATCCACAAGAAAGTGCTGTCGTTAAACTTCAAGGATTGCCACACAAAGATCCGCCACGTGGATGCTCATGCTACCCTGAACGACGGCGTTGTGGTCCAGGTGATGGGGGAGCTCTCCAATAACATGCAGCCCGTGCGCAGGTTCATGCAAACGTTTGTGCTTGCCCCTGAGGTATGCTCTATAGGGTGTTAGTACTGCTCTAAGCCTACTGTTATGCTAGGATTAATGTGGAGGCTGTTTAGGTGAATGTTGAGAGTCTGGAGAGTTGGGCCAGGGAGATCACTTAACACAAAGTTGAGTGTAGTATCCTGCAGGTTCTTTATGAAGCTGCATTAGTTCCATATGTTAATCATGATTATCATCTTTGCAGTTGTAAATATCCTGACCTGTGGTTACTAAGTATCTGTAATGCTTTTGTGTTCTAAAGTTGTTTCTTTTATTTGCCCTCCTAGTGACTTAGTGTAAGAAAGGACTAGTGAAAGAAATGCTTTTTCCCATTTGTAAGATGTGGAATCCAGATTTCTGATTCTGGTTTTATTAGAGGTTTGAAGTGACATTCAACATGCAATACTGTAAATATACATATAAATGCAATATAATAAGTTGCAAGATCAGTTTTATTTCTCAGTTTGACTGTTTTTCCTATGGAGCTAGGAATTGGTAATGCAGAACCCGGAAGCTCTCTCCCCCTCTTTCATCATAAACTACCAGAATTAAGTGTGGTACAAACTTTTTAGGTGATCAGTCACTTTTGTGCATATGCGATTTGGAACATGATTGCAGTGCATCCCTGCCCTGCTATTTGGGGCAGGGGGGAAGCCTTATACTGGGACAGATTTTCTTGAAAGAGGCATGTTTGGGTTTATCTTAAGATGAGAGAAGGATAACTTGCACAATCTGTTCTTGTTTCCTTATTACTTCAGTATTAATGTGATTTGTGACTTCAGCAAGCAATGTTATAAAGTAACTCCACACTATTTATTCTGCCTCCAGCTGTGTTTTTGTACCAAGCTGTTAGTAGTCAAGATAGGTTACAGAAGGCTAAAGCTGATACTTTTGTTTAGCTTTAGCTGTCAGTCTTTCTAGGACTTAACTCTTGTCATACCGATCCTGTCAGTAGTAAGGAAGAAGCATGTAGCTCCTTTTTCTGGTGAACTGAGCTGAATTTCTGCTCCAGGAGCCATGTTGAGATCGCCTTTCTCAGAGTGGTCATTGAACAGTCTTTTTGTCTTCTGCAGCATTAAAGTTATCTCCGTCTTTCTGTCTCAAATGCTCTGTTCCTTTTATGGCAGTTTGGTAGCTACTTTCATCTTCACAGAGATCTCTTACCCTTTTATTTTAACAAAGAAGCATTTTGATTTTTATCATATGGATGAAGGTGTGATATCAATAAAACCGTCATTGAGCACTGTTGCCGTTCAAACGGCAAAACTGTCTGCAACAGAGCACTCTGTGGGTTTTTCTGCCATATCAGACCCTGATATTTAGCTGTACTCTTTGGTGCATGGAACAGGCATAAATGGCTCAAAGCAGACTCTCTTGCTTTCTCAGCTTTACTTTGCTGCCGGTCAGAATTATACTTGAGCTAATTGGTGACTAGAGTTGCTCTTAAATAATAATCTAATTACGCTGATGTCAAGGGATACCATCTGAGCTATGATATAATATAGCACTCTAACTTTTGGGGAGTGAGAAATGCTTCCTGTGTTTGGCAACAGACTGCAGAGGCAGTTAAACTTGCCTAGATTGACGGTTTTCTTCCTGCTTGGGAATCCTTTGTAGGAACTGCTGACTGTCCTGTTTGTATTTGTTGCTTTGTACTGTTGGTGTCAGGGAGGACAGACCAGTGCCAGGCTTTGTCACTGGTAGTAAACTGTCATGTTGGGGAGGGGTTTGTGCCTGTTGTAATCAAATCATTTCCTTGCTTTGTTTTGTTTCAAGGGTTCTGTTGCAAACAAGTTTTATGTCCATAATGACATCTTTCGCTACCAGGATGAGGTTTTTGGTGACTCTGACACAGAGCCTCCTGAGGGTAAGTGCCAGGAGTTCTTGAATAGTTAGAGTGATTATTTGTTCCTGGGTCTATTTTAATGCTTGGTTCCCAGACTGAAGGAAATCCCTTTGTTTTGAGACAGCAGATCAGCACTAAGCTTGGTGATCTCTTGGCTTTTTTTTCCTGACCCGCGATCTTACCTTTCTTTGATCCTGCTTTCTGCACTTCAGCAAACACCTGAATGTTGTAATTGCTTTCTAACAATGTTACTAAAAAGTTCTTTGAGTAGTAGCAATTTACATCCAAGTAACATGAAACATGCTGCTTGACTTTAGCCAAAACTGAATAACTGAAGTGATGGCAGAAATAAAAGGGAGTTTTCATTGTGTTATGTCTTAATAGCACTTTCTGTGTTTGCTTTTCAGCAGAAGCTTCAGCTGTGTGTTGTGGTAGATGCCTTAGGTTAGCACGGAGTACTGAAGATGAGTATGGTGATTTTTTTTTTTTCTTTTCTGACTTCATGTAGAATCAGAAGAAGAGGGGGAGGAACCTGAGGAAAGGCAGCAGACACCTGAGGCTGTTCCTGATGATAGCAATACTTACTATGAGCAGACTGTCAGGTAATAACGTTGTATTGGTTGAAGCCAAATGTTGTCTAATAAAGTTTGTGGAAAAGTCAAATGAATTTAGTGCTAGTCATGATTTTCCTTGACAATCCAAGACTTCTGTTAGTAAAGCAGCTGCAATCCAAGAGGGCATTCCACTGAAAAATCTGCCCCAGCTTATGCAATGCTTTTGCCATTCTGTAGTGTAACCGCGTGGAACTTGCATCCCTGGGTAGTGTAGCTGTATGTAGACAGACAGACATTGCCTGTGCCCCTCTCTTGATTGTGCTTAACTTCCCATTTGGAAGGCAACATCCCT